AGAAAAACTCACTGTCCCCAGTGAAATAGCCACTGTCCCCACAGAAAAACCCACTGGTCCCAGTGAAATAGCCACTGTCCCCACAGAAAGACCCATGGTCCCCAAAGAAAAACACCCTGTCCCCAGTGAAATAGCCACTGTCCCCACAGAAAAACCCGTGGCTCTCACAGAAAAACCTATAACTGCCACAGAAAAACCCACTGTCCCCAGTGAAATAGCCACTGTCTCCACAAAAAAGCCCATAGTCCCCTCAGAAATGTCCACTGTCTCGCCAGAAAAATCCACCTTCCCCACAGAAAAACTCACCATCCCCACTCAAAAGCCCACCATCCCCACAGAAAAGCCCAAAGTTCCCACAGAAAAGCCCACTATTCCCACTGAAAAACCGACTTTCCCCACTGAAGAGAACACTGTGCCTCCTGAAGAGACCACTGTCCCCCCTGAAGAGACCACTCTTCCTCCTGAAGAGCCCACTGTCTTCACTGAAGAGTCTACCATCCCCGCTGAAGAATCCACTGCCTCTGCTGAAGAGTCTGTTGTCCCCATTGAAGAGACTACTGTACCCCTTGAAGAGCCCACTATCCCCACAGGAAAACCCACCATGCCCACTGAAAGGACCACCATCTCCACAGAAAAGCCTACTATCCCTGCAGAAAAGCCCATAGTCCACACTGAGAGAACCACCATCCCCACAGAAAAACCCACCATTCCCACGGAAAAACCTGTCATCCCTATGGAAAAATCCATCATCCCCACAGAAAAACCCGCCGTCCCCACAGAAAAACCCGCCATCCCCACAGCAAAACCCGCCATCCCCACAGGAAAACCCACCGTCCCCACAGGAAAACCCACCGTCCCCACAGGAAAACCCACCGTCCCAACAGGAAAACCCACCGTCCCAACAGCAAAATCTACCATCCCCACTGAAAGGCACACTGTCCCCACAGCAAAACCTACCATTGCCAAAGAAAAACCCACTGTCCCCACAGGAAAACCCACCATCCCCACTGAAAGGCCTACCATCCCCACTGAAAAGACCACCATCCCCACAGAAAAGCCCACTGTCCCTACAGAAAAAACTACCATCCTCGCAGAAAGACCCACCATCCCCACTGGAAAGACCACCATCCCCACAGAAAAACCCACCATCTCCACTGAAAAACCCATCATCCCCACAGAAAAATCCACTGTCCCCACAGAAAAACTCACCATCCCCACAGAAAAATCTACTGTCCCCACTGAAAGGCACACAGTTCCTACGACATCCCAGCCCAGCCCAACACTTGTACCAATTGGGCCAACAGTCTTGGTGATGCCTCCTACAACTACTCCAAGTACCTCCATGACCACTACAACCCCTAGACGTACTCCAGGTATGTGATGGAGCATTGGACAAACAGCTGAAAGTAAGAGACTGTGAATAGGAATGAGAATTAGATAAATGGATGCGTCTAATAGGGAACTGCGATCTTAGAGGAGAGATGAATGGGACATGGTAACTTTAGAAAAAATGAGGACCACCCTGACCAAGAGGGAAGCAGGGCATAGGTGGGGTGGAGGTTGTTGGGAGCCAAGCACTAGGCTTACAACATCTTTTTAAAAAAATAGGTATATAATTCATATACCGTAAAATCCATTCTTCTAAAGTGTATAATTCAGTGGTTTTAGTGTATCCACAAGATTGTGCAAACATCAGTTTCTAAATACAAAACTTTTTTTTAAAGATTTTTTTTATTTATTTGACACAGAGAGAGAGAGAGTGAGAGCAGGAACACAAGCAGGGGGAGTGGGAGAGGGAGAGGCAGGCTTCCCGCGGAGCAGGGAGCCCGATGCGGGGCTCGATCCCAGGACCCCGGGATCATGACCTGAGCCGAAGGCAGACGCTTAACGACTGAGCCACCCAGGTGCCCCAAACCAGAACATTTTTATCAGCCCCAAAGAAACCCCCTACCCATTAGCAGTCACCACCTTCTCCCCAACCCCCACTGTGCCCCATCCCCTGGCAACCCCTAATCTATGTTCTGTCTCTCTCAATTTGCCGGTTCTGGACATTGCACACACGTAGAGTGATGTAACATGTGGTCTTTTGTGACTGGCTCCTTGCACTCAGCATCACGTTTTAAAGCTTCGTCCGTGTGCTAGAACTTCAAGTTCATCCACACGTCAGATCTTCATTCCTTTTTATGGCTGAATCATAGGGACCTCCTTCTTAGAGAACCTGAGGGTGGGGGTAGAGGAGACAGGAAATCTCCCTGAGAAAAGCACTAGAGTGAAGGTTTGACGCAGGCCGTTCTCCCCTTAGCGAGGTGCCCCCCAAATGCCCACTATGAGCCCTGCGCCTGCCCAGCATCCTGCGAGAGACCCAAGCCCAACTGTGGGCCCCCCTGCAAACCCGGCTGTGTCTGCAATTCTGGCTTTTTGTTTCATGAGTCCCGCTGCATCCATCCCTCTTCCTGCAATTGCTTCTACAACAACAATTACTATAAGGTAAGACCACTGGGAGGCCAGAGCCCGTAAGGGAGATGGGGAGTGGGTTCTGGCTCCATCTGCTCCCCAGGGGAGAGGACTTTGGATCTGTGGAACAGTCCCACAGGGCCAGCTCTCAAGCTGGTGGAGTTACACAATGGTGGAGTGATTCTTTGCAAATGTGGCTTTTCATTGTCCTCTCTGTTCATGCAGTAAATATTTGCTAAGTACCCACTTGGGCCCAGCTAGGACCCACTGGGCCAGCCAGGTGGTCCAAGGCCTTCCTCATCTCCTTCTTAAGGAAAGCTGGGGGTCCCTGCATATGCAGAGAGTCCTGGATGCTGAGTAGAGCTTCGGGCGTGTTCAGGGCAAAACACAGCATTCCAGGATCTTCTTCCAAAGGAACTTGCAAATCCTGTCAAAATATGGCAGTTACTGTCTCCTGGAATTGGTAGCCCCCCCGACCTGGGAAGACTCGACGCATGCAGAGGCTCTGAAGGGGCACAGGCTCTGGGCCATTGCTGTCCAAAAGGGCTAGCATGCAAGCCTCAAAGTTATTTTACGTTTGCTAATAGCCACATTTTTAAAAAAGTAAAAGGAAACAGGTTAAATGAATTCCAATAATGTACTTGATCTCTATTCTCATCTCAACATGTGATGAATAGTTATTAATGAGATCGCTTACATTCCTTTTTTCCCCCCATACCAATTCTTTGAAATCCAGTGTGTATTTTTACACTTAGGGCATATCTCAGTTTGGACCAGCCACATTTCAAGAGCTCAATAGCCACAAGGGGCTGGTGGCGGCTATTTGGGACAGAGCCACCTTAGAGTCAAGCAGATCAGTGCTTTAAATCTGGGCTCCAGCATTCACTTGCTGGGTGACCTTGGGCAAGATTCTTTCCCTCTTCAGATCTGTTTCTGTGTCTACAAAATGTGCCCATAATTTCTACTTACCTCATAAGATTGTTGTGAAGATGAAATTAGATCCCGATGCAGACCGAGTACTTAATAAATGTTACTACTATTAGCTAATTATGATAAATATCACATGTAATTTATTAAAAGTGATTTAAGCTATTCACTACCGTCCAGTGGCTCTTCTCAGAACAGGTGTTCTTCCCATCTGTCATCTGAGTTCCTATTTGTCTCTTTGGGGACCACTTTCTCCCCCACCTCCCTTTAACCAGTCTCCTGGGTGTCCCTGTGTCAGGGTTAGGATTAGCTTCAGCCTCAGAAAGAACCATCAGCATTCAGCATGTCTTGCCAGCCCCAGCAGACATGTATGCATGTCTTATAAAGATTCATTTATGCATCCAACAAATGTTTCTTGAGTACTTTCAACCCTCCTGGAATTGGGGCCACCACAAATAGGGCATGGTCCTTGCTCTCCTAATGCTCTCAGACCCTGGGGGACACCCTGGGTCTTGGGTCACTCTGACACAGCAAGCGTTTCTTGAATGAGAACTCCTGCCAAGCACTGTGCTTTGTGTTGAGGCTACAATACTGAATAAAGAGACATGGTCCCTCACAGAGTGCTTGCAATCAAACAACCGCAGAAATTAACACGAAGGTGCAATGTGGTAAGTCCTGGGAAAGAAAGGTACCCAGGGCTGTGAGGATGACCTAGTCAGGGGGGTCTGAGAAGTTTTCCCGAGAAAGTTGTGACCCTTAAGCTGAACTCTGCTTGCTGGTTGCATAAGAACGATTTGGAAAGGAACAGAAGAGCATTCCAGGGTGAGAGAGCAGTGTGTGTCAATGTCCTGTGGTAGACAGGAGTATCTGGTAGGGGGTGGGAAGAGGAAGAGTATGAGCAAGGTTAGGTCTGCAAGGTGTGGTGGGGAAGGGAGATGGGCCCCAGGAGCTAGAGTGTTGTGACTCTGGATCCCCTGCTCCCAGCCTGGGGCAGAGTGGTTCAGCTCCAACTGCACAGAACGTTGCCGCTGCAAGCCTGGCAGTCGGATGGAGTGTCAGATCTTCCAGTGCGGGACTCACACGGTGTGCCAGCTGAAAAACGGCCAGTACGGATGCCAGCCCTACGGTGAGACCCTCCCATCATGCTACCCCCGCCCGCCAGCCTGTCCGAGTGGGTATGACACCAGTGTCCCAATCCCTCCCTTGACCAGAGGAACTGGGGCATGCCACCAGGTGGGTGAGGTGGCTATGGGGCCTAGCCTGCTGCTTCATGTGCTCTCCACCCCCTCCCTTCGGCAGGCCATGCCACCTGCGTCGTCTATGGAGACCCTCATCAAATCACCTTTGATGGGAGGCACTTCAACTTCATGGGCAAATGCACCTACATCTTGGCCCAACCCTGTGGCAACTCGACAGGTGGGGCCCTGGAGATGTCTGGGCCAGGGTCTAAGGTCAGAACAGCTGCTGTGGGAGCACAGTGGAAGGCAGGAAAGGGCCGGGGGCGGGGGCAGATGCGGGAGACGCAAGGTGGGAACAAGGCCTTCTGTAGAGTAAGGGTTGACACGTCCACCCCAGAAACAGGACTTTCGCAGGACTGGCAAGAATGCACTGTAGGACTTTTCCCTTTATCAGCCATCTTCTGGGCCCACGTTCAGTGAGGGGCCTCCTGGAATAATGGCCATAGCGGGAGGAGTGAACTATTATAAATGCCTTGCCCTGGAGGATGTTCCAGTCCCTTAGGGGAGACAGAGTCTCAACAGAGTTACAGGCGCTCCGACAGTCACATCTGCCCCCCCCCCAAACTGCAGAGCCAGGGCCTGGGGAGGTCTTTATCCCTGCGGCGCCAGGTGTAGGCGCCATCCTCAGTGGACCCTCAGAAATGCTTGTTGAGGGGCGCCTGGGTGGCTCAGTTGGTTAAGCGTCTGCCTTCTGCTCAGGTCTTGATCCCAGGGTCCTGGGATTGAGTCCTGCATCGGGCTCCCTGCTCAGCTGGTAGTCTGCTTCTCCCTCTGCCCCTGCTCACCCCCAGTGCTCGCACATGTGCCCTCTCTCTCAGATGGATAAATAAAATCTTTTTTTTTTAAAGATTTTATTTATTTGACAGAGAGAGACATAGTGAGAGCAGGAACACAAGCAGGGGGAGTGGGAGAGAGAGAAGCAGGCCTCCTGCGGAGCAGGGAGCCCGATGCGGGGCTCGATCCCAGGACCCCGGGATCATGATCTGAGCCGAAGGCAGACGCTTAACGACTGAGCCACCCAGGCGCCCATGGGTAAATAAAATCTTTAAAAAAAGAAAGAAAGAAATGCTTGTTGGATGAGCCCCTGGGTGCTCTTCACCCCTCTTCCCACCCAGAGCCATTCTTCAAGGTGGCGGCGAAGAATGAGGGCGGAGGACAGGAAAGCATCTCCAGCCTGAGCAAAATCTACGTGACACTACCCAAGGTCACCATCACGCTGCTCAGGGGCAGGCGCGTGCTGGTGAGTGTCCTTTCCTCTTCAGTTGTACCGGGGCCTCCAGGCCTGGCTGTGGCTTGTCCTGTGGGCTGCCAGGTCCTGGCCGGCACCTGCAGCCTCCGACCTTCTCAGGGACAGCTTCCAGAGCATTCCGTGCGTTACCAAGGATTGCTGTGGAGGGCTGTCCTGCCTTCCAGCATGGACGTGGTAGTCTGCGGGGGTGGGAGGGTTCTCCTTGACCCCCCCCATCTGTGTCTCCGTCTCCTCCCTTTACCCACCTTCCAGGTTGGGGGTCAGCAAGTCACCCTCCCCGCCATACCTTCGGAAGGCATTTTCCTGGCTTCAAGTGGGCGATTTGTGGAGCTGCAGACAGTGTTTGGTTTGCGGGTGAGATGGGATGGTGACCAGCAGCTGTATATGAGTGTGCCCAGGTGAGGGGTGCACAGGCGGCTGCCACGGCTCCCCGCTCTGCCCCTCCCTCCCTCTCCCAGCACCTTCTCCTCCCCCGCCCCTTCCCTCGCAGGCACTAACTCTTAATCCGGGTGTAGGAAGTACCTCCACCGGCCGACCTCCCTCCCTCCAGATGGAGAGACAGGGGCACATGGCTTCAGGGCAGTGTGATAATAGCAGGATATACACACAATGCTTTGAGAATGTGCTAGAAGGAGTCGATAATGGGCCTTGGGAGCTTTCTGAAGAGTGGTCCCTTGACCCCAGTCTTCCAGAGAGAGTGGTTCCCCAGAGGAACCAACCAGGGAAAGAATGCCTTTGCAGGTGGTGAATGCCAACGCAAGGAAAAAAAGCGGGAATGTGGGGAGATGGCGTGTGAGTGGAAGGGAGCAGTAAGGATGGCTCCGGGGTGAGGGGTGGGAGGTCCTTGTGCACTTGGTGCCTGGCACGTCCCCTGGCTCGCCGCTGCACCCTGTTAATCCTCCGCTCTGCCCTTCTCTGCCCTGATCCCTCGGGCGACCGGAGCCCCTTCTCTCCGTTAACGCCGCCGCCACTCCCCATGGCTCCAGCACCTACTCTAGGAAACTCTGTGGCCTCTGTGGCAACTACGACGGGGACGGCAGCAACGACAACCAGAAGCCGGACGGCAGCCCAGCGCAGGACTTCGAGGAGCTGGGCAAAAGTTGGCAGACAGCGGGGGGCGAGGACAAGGAGTGAGGGCACCCCCACGCCCGCCGCGGCCCTCTGCTCCTTCTCCCTTCTGAGAAGCTCGCACCCCGACCGGCACCACCCCTTTTCTTCTTTCTCCTCTCCTGCATGCAACCCCCCCCACATCTGTCGTTCTTCTCCCTGCTCCCATTGCGGCCAAGTTCACGAGCTTGTGGCCACCACGCTCGCCCCCACCTCGGCCGCGCTAGGGGGACACTGAGCAGCCTCCCCCGCTGGCTCAGCCCCAGGTCTTCCTGGCTCCTTTCGGGCTCGGCGTTCAGACGCTGTCCACTAGGGGCAGCCGTGAGCCGCCACACTGCTGGGGCCGGGGCCGGGGCCGGGGCCGGGGCGGGGCCGGGGCCGGGGCGGGGCCGGGACCGGGGCCGGGGCGGGGCCGGGGCGGGGCCGGGGCGGGGCCGGGGCCGGGATGCGAGCCTCCAGGGCATGTGGGGTGGGTCCCTTCTAGGTGCCAGAGGAACCCGGCAAATCCTCCGTCTTGCAACCGGGGCTTTCTGAACAGTCTGTCGGCACTAGAGTTCTGTGGACGGCTCGTGAACACCCACGGAGCCTTTGAGTATGAAGGGCGACCGACTGTAGGGCTGTGAGAGGGGGTCCTTTGGCACCTGGGGTCGTTCCCTCTGACCTGGCCTCTCTCCTCAGGGCATGTCTGCCTCACCTCGAGGCCTCTCAGTTCCTCAAGAACTGCGTGTTTGACATGTGTAAATTCCAGCGGCTGCAGTCAGTGCTGTGTGCCCACATGGCAGCTTTGACCGAGATCTGCCAGGATGCCGGCTACGCAGTGAAGCCCTGGAGGGGACCCCAGTTCTGCCGTGAGTTGTGCCGAGCGTCGGGGCCCGTTCCTTCACAGGCAGGTGCGAGCAGAGGGCGGGCATCCGAGTGTTCGCACAGGCTGGGGGACCCCTGGTGGAACCCCTTTGCTTCCACGCCTGCACAGGGAAAGCTGCAGTCAGAAACCTCCACCAAGAAAAATCATAGTCCCTGGCAAACTCGGAGCCCTCCCAGCCGCTCGAGGCTATGCGGAGCAACGCACGTCTGTGTAGACGCATGCCCAGGTCGTCCTCCGCAAACAGAACACAGACTCCCAGCGTGATTGGGTGCACCGTGACTGGCTCACAGCCCCCTCATGGCCTCCGGGGAGCCTGCTTTAGGGCACGGCCATGCCCTTGATCGAGGCCCCATGGGTGTTCTCCCCTGCTCTCCTTCACCCTGACTTCTCACTTGGGCATGTCTATACGGCAGCTGAGACGCTTGGATCTGTCTGCGCTCTCAGACCTGCCTCTTGGTAGCTCCCTGCAGGTCACTCTCTTTGGTCCCGCTTCTCCTGGTCGCTCTCTGCTTCTTGGGATTGGGCAGAAGCCTCTAGCTGTGGGCCCTCCGAACGCTGGCCTCCGAATGGACTTCGTTCCCTTTCCCTGTCCCGCCCTCTGCTCTTCTCACGTCTGCTTCTCCCTCCCCTAGCTCTGACCTGCCCGCCCAACAGCAGGTACACTCTGTGCGCCGGGCTGTGCCCAGCCACCTGCCATCCCAGCTTCTCTGGGATGTCCTGCCAGAACCGATGCGTGGAGGGCTGTGAGTGCAACCCGGGCTTCGTGCTCAGCGGTCTCCAGTGTGTCCCTCGGTCCCAGTGCGGGTGCTTTGACCCCATGGTGGGCTACTTCAAGGTGAGCCTCTGGGCCTGGGTCGCTTCTCTCTGCCGCCTCGGGTTCTGAAGTCTGGGCGAGCCCGTGTGTAGGACAGAAGGCCGGGAAGCCACGCGGTGCGTGGATGGCTGGGGGAAGGGATGCTTGGGCCCGGATCTGCTTCTCCATTTCTTTCTCCAGCTCTGGGTTGGAGCCCTAGCAGCTTTTGCCCACGCTGCCGGCAGAGCTGAGAGCCCTGCCTCTCTCCCTTCCATGCCCCTGAATCATTTTTCCCGGAGTTTTTCGTCCTCTGAGGGCCCAGGCACTTCTGTGTCATCTGCACAAACGCAGACATCTTTCCAAACACCATGTCCTCCCTGCCACGGGCCCCTTTCCCTGATGAACGACTTTGGCCCCAGCCTGGGCCCCTGTCTGCACACTCCCTCAGAAGCAGTGTTTGGAGCCAGACCCTCGTCTGCGGTGCTTCTCTTTTCCTTGTTTGCCTGTCCCTCACCCTGTCCCTGGGAATGGTGTCCGTCACAGCCCTCAGCCCCGCTCCGGGCTGGCCCACCAAACACTATCCCTGCCTTGCTCTCCTATCAGTTTCACCTTCTCTGCAGCCGCTTTGTCTCTGCTCTGCCCCCAGCCACTGTGCCTGTCGGAGTCCTTCATCTTGCTCTGAGGCTCTGTTCACAGCCACCTCCTCCTTGAAGCCTCCCTGATAAGCAGAGTCAGAAGGCTTCCCTCAAAACTTCCTTTGCAAGTGCTTGTTGTCTGTGTGGATGGCAGGAAACTCTCGTTGGGTCCCCTGATTGTCTTCTTCGGGTGCATATTGTGTGGGAGCCCCTGATCTATTAGTTTACTTGTTTACTGCCCCCACCATCCCCCCAACTGGGTTGTGAGCTGTTAGGGCAGGGACATGGTCCATCCAGTTCATTCCTGAATCCCTAACACCTGTCTAGTGCAGAGAGATAACCATCTGTTGAAACAGCAAAGGAGCAAACAAGTGAATGACTGAATAAGGGCGAATCCCAGGCTTTTATAGCTAAGCCCGGAGCTTCAGGATGACGGGAACAGCTCCCTGGCCAGCAAACCAGGGATCTGAGTAGCCGTGGGCCGGCAGTCAGACCTGGGAATGACCTCTTTCCCTCCCTCCCTCCCTCCCTCCCTCCCTTCCTTCCTTCCTTCCTTCCGTCCCCCAGGTAGGGGAGCAGTGGCTCAAGCCAGGCTGCAGACAGCTCTGTGTCTGCACGGGCAACGGTAAAGTTCACTGCATGCAGTGGAGGTGCCAGGCCCAGGAGATCTGTCGTCAGCAGGATGGCACCTATGGCTGCCATGCCCAAGGTGAGCAGCCAGGTGGAAGGTGAGCTGGGACGGGGGCAGGGGGGCTGCCCACGTGGCCTTGAGCGGGGACATGGCTCTGCCCTAAAGCAGGCACCCCAGAGAGCTGGGGCCTGACTGGGGGCTGGAAGGCATTGGCCCAAGCCTGAGCAACCTCTTCACGGACCCAGTGAGGTTGGGGCAGTCCCTGTGCCTGACCTTTCCAGGCCAAGCCAACCCCACAGAGGAGCCTTGGGTCCCAATCCAACATGGACTGGCTGGGATGGCAGCTCAGCGTTCGGGGTGGGGGGGGGTGGTCTCTGAATTCCATCTCCTCCACCCCAGGGACTGCCACCTGCAGTGTCTCAGGGGACCCCCACTACCTGACATTCGACGGAGCCCTGCACCACTTCATGGGCACCTGCGCCTACATCCTGACCCGACCTTGCCAGTCTAGGTACCTAGAGAACTACTTCATTGTGAGCACCACCAATGAGTTTCGCGGCGGGAACTTGGAGGCCTCCTACGTCAGAGCCGTCAATGTGCAGGTCTTCAACCTGAGAATCTCACTGATCAAAGGGCACAAGGTCATGGTGCGTGCCTCCGCCCGCCTCCCAGGGCCCCACACCCCCAGCCCGGTCAGCGGTTCTTCTATGCCCGTCCTCATGTTGCGGGGGGCAGACCCACCTGTCCAGCTTCTAGAGCCCCTGGGGGTAGCTCACAGCAGATCCAGCCCCGATTCCAGAGACGCATCGCCATCCCTGTCTGCTCCCTGGTCCTGGCCCCCCCCATTGTCCTTGTCCCAAGCGCCTTTCTCTACCGCATCCTCCCTGCTTCTGTAGTTGAATGGTCGCCGGATGGCCCTGCCTCTGTGGCCCGCACAAGGCCGGGTGAGCATAAGGCCCAGTGGCTCCTTTACCCTCCTCTACACGGACTTCGGGCTTCAAGTTCGCTATGATGGGAATCACCTGGTCGAAGTGACAGTGCCGTCTTCCTACACCGGGCAGCTCTGCGGGTTGTGTGGTGAGTTCCCTGAGCATCTGCGGGCAAAGTGGGGACAACGGGCAGGAGTCTGTCCTGGTCGTGCTCATCCATACATTTAATTAGGTGCCCTAAGTGCTTGTCTGCCCGTTCATTGTTTGAGGGCCCTGTGCATGAGGGTAGGTGTGAAGGGAAGCCAAGGTGAAGAGAAAGAAGAGAGGAACCTTGGTCTGTTGAGGGCAGAGTGAGCGTTGACTCTTCTGGGAGGCAGGTGGTGGTCCCGGGCTGGGTCGGCTGGTAGCGTGCCTCAGTGGCCTCTAACTGGCCCCTCCTCCAGGCAACTACAACAGCAATAGCCTGGATGATAGTCTGTTCCCCAGTAAAAGGCCTACGGCCAGCTCTGGCCACCTGGGGGTCGCCTGGAAGTTACCGGAGTACTCTGAACCGGGGTGAGCTGGGAATGTGGTGGAGCCGGACCTGGGGAGGAGCCTCAGTGGGCAGCCTGGGGGGTTCCTCCGGGCATCCCTGATCTCTCCAAGGCTGGCCTGGACCTCCTTTGCTCCCGTTTGCTCCTGTGCTTACCAATCTGTCTTTGGAGAGACCACTTGGGAAGTCCATCCTGAAAGCTAACCTGGTTCCTTCCTGCTACATCTTCTGACCTTCCTACTCGAGGGACCACTTTGTTCTGTCCTCCAGTCCTTATCCCTCTCCACTCTTGCATCAGTGTTTGGGGAGTTCCCTCCAATCCTAAATTCTTATCCCTTCCCCTCTCCTTGTTTAGCTGCTTTGTTGAGGGTGGCAAGCCCTCCAGATGCCTGGGGAACAAAGAGGCAAACAACTGGGAAAAGAATTGTGATATCTTAATGAACCCTCGGGGTAAGCATCCCTTGATAGCTGCTCCCCCCCACACACCCCGGGGGAGGTTGAGGAGGGGGACTGGTCACGGAGGGAGGAAGGATGAGACACGAACTAGAGGGAAAGTCAGGAGGAAGGCAGAGGTGGTGCTCACCTGGGGAGCTCAGGTGGATCGGTCACTTTTTTTTTTTTGCATTTCAAACCGTAGGTTCTCAATAATTACGGGTTTTTTTAATTTTTATTTGTTTATTTTGAAAGAGAGAGAGTGCGAGCAAGGGGAGGAACAGAGGGGTAGAGAGCGAGGGGAGAGAATCTGAAGGAGACTCCGCACGCTGAGCGCAGAGCCTGACGCGGGGCTCGATCTCACGACCCTGAGATCATGCTCTGAGCCGACACCAAGAGTCGAGTGCTTAACCGACTGAGCCCCCCAAGCACCCCAATAATTACTGGGTTTTGATTGAATTGGACGTTGAATTCACCCTAAAGGAGTTAGGTGGTTCTTTTCCTTTCCAAGCCGACGCTCGGTACATTGTTTCATCCTCCAGGACCCTTCTCCCAGTGCCACGGGGTGGTGCCCCCCCAGTCCAGCTTCGCCAGCTGTGTGTATGGCCAGTGTGGGACCACGGGTGACTCCCTGACCCTGTGCCGCTCCCTGCAGGCCTATGCATCCCTGTGCGCGCATGCCGGCCAGGCCCTCACCTGGCGAAATAGCAGCTTCTGCCGTGAGTGACCCGACCACCTGCTCCCAAAGCTGCCAGATCCCTCTCTCTCTTCCTCTCCTTCAAGTCTGCTTCTCTGCTCTCCCTTCACAGCCTGGCCCTCAGCCCCACAGGGAACCTTCCTCCCTTGCCCTCTTTCCAGTCTCTCCAAGACCAATCCCCCTTCTCAACTTGTCTGCTAGCCCTGGGAGCCTCCTCCATCTGACTCCCTCCTCGCCAAGACATTCCACCCCCATTTGGTTTCTGCCTTCTTCCTGTCTGACCTAGGCCCGCGCTGTTCCCTTCCTTTCTTTCTCTCTTTTCCAGAAACTTTGTTTTTTTAATTGTGGTAAAATATACATAACACAAAATTTCCCATTTTAATGATTTTTAAGTATCCAGTTCTGCGGTATAAAGTATGTTCACACTGCTGTGCACCCGGGACCACTACCCATTTCTAGAACTTTTTCATCTTCCAAACTTAAACTCTGCACCCATGAAACACGAACCCCCCATTCTCCCCTCCCCGGCCCCCGGCAACCACCATTCTGCTGGGTGTCTATGAATTTGACAACTCCAGGGACCTCACATAAGAGAAATCATACAGTATTTCTCTTTTGGTGAGCAGCTTGTCTCACCTAGCATGTCTTCAAGGTTCATCCATGTTGGAGCGTGGGCCAGAGTATCTTTTTTTCAAGGCTGAAAATTATTCCACTCTATGCATAGGTCTCGTTTTGTGTATCCATTCATCTGACGAACATTCTCGGGAACTCTCGATGCCCCGAGGTCAGGGAGCTGGAAATCACTGCTCTTCCTCACCCTGGTTTCTTCTTAGCTCTGAAGTGCCCCCCCGGAAGCAGCTACAGCCCCTGTGCCAATCCCTGCCCGCTCACCTGCCTCAGCCTGAACACCCCAAAAGACTGCCCAGCAGGGCTGCCCTGTACCGAAGGCTGTGAGTGCCAGAAAGGCCACATCCTGAGCGGAACCTCCTGTGTGCCCTTCAGCCAGTGTGGCTGCACCCACCAGGACGGTTCCTACCATCCGGTGAGGGGCTAGACCGCAGCGCCCCATGTTTGAGGGCAAGAGGGCTCAGAGCCTGTGAAGGGGTAGTGGGGGAGGCGGGGAGGCCCATGTAGGGGGCCGAGCAGCCAGTCCAGAAGCCAAAAGGTTGAGGAAGGCTAGGGATGGAGACAAAGAGTCAAGGGCAGCGAGCCCGGGGGCGAGGGCGCAGGGAGGGGGGTTTCCGTCCATCGTCGGCTTCCAAACTGCCCTTGGCTCTGCCGATGCCCCCGTCCCACAGGTCGGGGAGAGCTGGTACACAGACAACACATGTTCCAGGCTCTGCACCTGTTCCGCGAACAGCAACATCTCCTGCCACCAGAGTACCTGCAAGCCGGGCCGGCTGTGCTGGCCCCTGGACGGCCTGCTGCGCTGCCGCCAAGCGGGTAGGAGGCCCTTGAAGTCACCGTGCCTGCTCTCCCCGGCTCCCCCTCCCGGTCTCCTGCCACCTGTAGCACTCCGGCTCCCCTCCATGCTGTCCCGAAGAGCTTCTGGTGGGGAACGATGACCCCTGTGCCATCAAGAAGGGCTCCTCCTCGGGTTACCTCATGGTTCTCCCAGCCATGAGCTTTGACAGGACAATAATCCCCACTCGGCCTCCAAGCCTCATCCTGGTGGGGGCCAGACGGCTCTTCAGCCACCCTTGCCTCTCTGCCAGGCATGGGAGTGTGCCGTACCTCGGACCGCTCCCCGTATGTGACGTTCGATGGCGCTCGCCATACCATCCGGGACACCTGCACTTATGTCCTGGTGAAAGTGTGCCACTCCACCATGGACCTGCCTTTCTTCAAGATCAGTGGCAAGCACGGGAAGCTGAGAGGCCGCTCCACTGCTTTCTACCTCCGCCGGGTCAATATGGACATCTCTGACACCCGGGTCACCTTGGGAAAGAACCACCACGTGCTGGTGAGCTGGGTGGCGGCGTGGGTGGGGAAGGGAGGACGCCAGCCCCGCTCTGGGGAGGGGGCTCCGGTCCTTCTTCCCACTCACCTGCCCTGCCCGCCTCTGTAGATCAACGGCACACGGGTCACTCTTCCCTCGACCACCCAGATCCGGGGGGTCAGAATCATAGCCAGCGGCATCTACACCGTACTCAATGTTAACATCGGGCTGCAGGTCAAGTTTGACGGCAAGGGCTTCTTAGAGGTTCAGCTCCCTACGGCCTATTACCAAAAGGTGGGGGAAACCCCTAGCTCTTTTCCAGGGGAGTCCGCCTCCAGAGGGCGCTGAGCCCTCTCCAGACCCAAGGGGTCATTCCCCGGAAAGGAGGAGGGCCGGGAGGGCGCCTTTTTCTTAGGAGTGGAAATGCGAGCACCCAGGAGAAAGACTCTTCTGCCTGCCCCCGGCCACTGACAGCACCTTCGCCCGCCCCCGCCCCCAGGTCTGCGGCTTGTGTGGGAACTTCAATGATGAGGAAGAAGATGAGCTCATGATGCCCAGTGATGAACTAGCCCAGAATGACACTGAATTGGTGGACAGTTGGCAAGATAGGGCGAATGACCCAAAGTAATTGTCCCCAAAGCCTCTATATCTTCATAGGAGCGCGAGTTGGGATCCCAGACTATATGGCAGGGGGTAGGAGGACTGGAGCGTTCCCGTATGTGTGTACCTTGACAGAGCATGGCCTCTGGGTCCCGGGAACCTACCTGGGGAAACATGAAAGTCTTCCCTTTTTTGGCTTCAAAACGTGGGAGGGGACTGAGGCTGCAGGGAATGTGGCCAGGTCTCAGACCGGCTTCCTGCTGAAGACAAGCGTGTGTGGGGGGGTGTCTTCTGAGTCACTTGGGAGTGCCAAGTCATTTTCATGGGGGGGGGCAGTGGCCGTCCCTCTGATGATCCTTTTCTCCTGCAGATGCCAACCAGATGACCAGAAGATCCAAACAGAAACGCAGGAGAAGCCGAATACAAACTGCAGGAAGGCTGACCTAGCCAGAGCCCAGGAACAGTGCCAGAAGGCCTTTCAGGCTCCAGCCTGGGCTAAGTGTGCCAGCCACATGGTCCTCAGGCCCTTCCTGCTCAGCTGTACCAACAACCTCTGTCAGTTTGGAGGCCTGAACCGCACCCTCTGTGAATCTTTGGAAAGCTTCGGGGCCGCCTGCCGGGCCCAGGGGCTCAAGCCCCCGATCTGGAGAAACAGCAGCTTCTGCCGTGAGTGTCCCCTACGGTCACTGCAGGCCCTCCCGCACCTCGTTTCTGTCTCTGTACTCCTTAAAGCTCCCTGTCCTCCTTTCTCCTTGTTCCTGACCTATGCCTGGCCTCGTTGTTCTGACGTGGCTCGTTCACAATACACTGTCAGCCGGCGCTCCTACCACCGGGACAGCACGGGCTGCTTCTCATCCGCTTCTTCACCAGCGCCATTTTCCCAAAGGAAATGTGACTGTTACTTCTCTGCATGGCTCCTGCCTGCAAGGTTAAGTCCAAGCTCCTTTCGGAGACGGCTGAGACCCTGCTGGCTGTCCTGGCCTGTCCTCTCTCGACCCTTTCCCTGTGTGCCTGCCCACCCCCTGCACCAGATTACCCCGTTCCCCCCGTCCCCCCCCCCCCCCCCCCCCCCATTCCCCTCTCCCCCCCCCCCCCCCCCCCGACAGGCCTTACTTTTCTACACCCCTCCCTGCCTCTATCCATGCTGTTCCCGGCACTTGGAAAGTTCTTTCTTCTTGTCTCCTGGCAGACACCTGGGCATTCTTCTGTAGCTCTTAAAACATTTTTTTTCAAATTAGAATTCACATACCATGATATTCACCACTTTAAAAGTATATACAATTCACTGTTTTGTAGGCTCTTTACAAGGTTCTGCAACCAACACATTATGTAATTCCAGAACCTTTTAAACTTTAAGACAGTGGTTAACGTGTTTTTAGTATGTGATGCATTCACATGGTTCAGGAACTTTTTTATTTTGTTTTGTTTTTTTAAAGATTTTATTTATTTCACAGAGAGAGAGACACAGCGAGAGAGGGAACACAAGCAGGGGGAGTGGGAGAGGGAAAAGCAGGCTTCCTGCTGAGCAGGGAGCCCGATGTGGGGCTCGATCCCAGGACCCCAAGATCATGACCTGAGCCGAAGGCAGACGCTTAACAACTGAGCCACCCAGGCGCCCTAAAGATTTTATTTTATTTATTTATTTATTTTAGGATTTTATTTATTTATTTGAGAGAGAGAGAGTGAGAGAGAGAGAGAGAGCCCAAGACGGGGTAGGGTCAGAGGGAGAAGCAGACTCCCCGCCGAGCAGGGAGCCCGATGTGGGACTTGATCCCGGGTCTCCAGGATCATGACCTGAGCCGAAGGCAGTCCCTCAGCCAACTGAGCCACCCAGGCGCCCTAAAGATTTTATTTTTAAGTTATCTCTACACCCATCGTGGGGCTCAAACTTAGAACCCTGAGACCAAGAGTCACACGCTCCCCCAACTGAGCCTGCCAGGTGTCCCTCATTTGTCATAATTTAACTAGTCTCCTTTGGTGAGCTTTCTAGTTGTTTCCAATTGTTACTGCAAACAGTGCTGCAGTGGATAGCCTTCCACAATTATGATTTTGTATGCACGCGTCTGTCTGTAGGATAAATTCCTGGATGAGGACCGTGTGCATTCGTTCTTCTGAGCAATGTTGCCAGTTGGCTTTCCATAGGGGGTAAGGAATTTACATTGCCACCAGAAGCACACGAGAGAGTGCCTGATTCCCCACACCCTCGCCCACACAGAGCATCGTCACACCTTCGGATTTTTGCCAATCGGATATGTGAAAAATACAAAGAGTCTTAATTTGCATTTTCCCTGTTACGAGTGAGGTGATGCATTCTTTCATATGTTTGGGAGTTGTCCGATCTCCTTTGCCGTGAGCTCTGTCTCTGTTCCCCTTCACCATTTTTGACACCGGCTGGTTGGAATTATCAAACTCTCTTATGGAGGTCCTTTATCTATCACGGTCCGATAGATTTTTTTTTTAAGATTTTATTTATTTATTTGACAGAGAGACAGTGAGAGAGGGAACACAAGCAGGGGGAGTGGGAGAGGGAGAAGCAGGCTTCCCACTGAGCCCCCGATATGGGTCTCGATCCCAGGACCCTGGGATCATGACCTGAGCCGAAGGCAGACGCCCAACGACTGACCCAACCAGGCACCCCTCCTGGCAGACACCTGGGTGTCTTAAATGACCAGTCTCTTCTCCCACTTAAATGACTAGTCTCTTCTCCCACTGACCGAGATGCCATGATTTATCCTACACTGAGTTCCCGTCCGTATTTGGGTCCCTGTGTGGGCTTCCTCTCCCCTCCATTGATCCATCTGTCTTCACTTACCAGTAACCCAGTGTTGTGATTGTTGAGAGTTTCAACTGTATTTCGTGTCTGGTAGGGACATTCACTACTCACTACTCACTGCTCTTTTCTTTTCTTTTTTCTTTTTTAGCGTTTTCCTGGCTTTTCTGGTTTGTTCATATCTTCCTCTCCACTTTAATATCTTCTCGCCCTACTAAAAACCCAAACAAAATCCTGCCGGTGTATTTTATTGGGATCATCTGAAACGAATACGCTAACTTAGGGACAACTGACTTCTTTATGTTGCAGACTCTTGCTATCCGTGAACATTTCCATGTGATCACAGGTACTTCACTTAAAGGGTTTTATTGAATTCCTCCAGCAGCCCTGCTCTGTGAGCCTGTCACCTGCGCACGCCTGTCCCACGCTCACTGACCATACATATCAAGGATTCTGTGGCTGCTGGCTGACCTCGGTCTCCCACACTGGACTGGGAGGGCCATTCTTACTCCTTTTCTTTCCTTGGAGCCTGGCCTGGAGCCCACGCTCAGTACACATTTCCCCCCTTCCTCCCCCAGCTCTGGAATGTCCTGCCCACAGCAGCTACTCAACCTGCCTTCCCTCCTGCCCACCTTCCTGCTTGGACCTGACGGGCCGGTGCAGTGGCCCCAAAGTCCCCTCCACCTGCAAGGAGGGCTGCCTTTGTCAGCCTGGCTACATGCTCAGTGGGCAACAGTGCGTGCGCAGGACTCAGTGTGGTTGCACGGACGACTACGGCAGCTATTTCCCCGTGAGTGGGGACAGGAAATAGGGGTGGGGACGCCTCGAGGTTGACGTTTTCTCCTTCCCTGTGGCTCTGTCAGCCTGGGGCACCCGTGTGTCCGTGGCTGGCCCTGGGGGATGCAGGCTGGGGACCGGGCCGGGTGCTGTCCGTCCAGGCCTGGGCTGGGGGTGCGTGGTGGTTTGGGGTTTCCTGAGGGATCCACATAACGGGGATGGGGCATGGCGTAGCGGAAGGAGCATGGCCTTGGCTCAAATCCTGCGGGTACCACTCCCGAGTCTGTTACCTCAGTTTTGTCATCTGTAAGATGGGTACTTCCTGAACAACGTATGTAAGACACCAGACAGGATGCCTCTAGGATGTGGTACAGGGACATCAGGGCGCAGGTGTCCCGTAACTGCCTCCGGCCTGGGCCAACGAAGCCATTCAGACCATGGGCCTAGGCTGACCGGGCGGGAGGAAGGGGAACTGGCCCTTCCCTCCTCACTCCCTGGTCCTCCCCGTGGCTTCTCTAGGACGGTAAGACCTGGATCTCCATTCGCTGCACGAAGAGCTGTGCCTGCACCACAGGAACCATTCACTGCCAGCCCTTCAGGTGCCCCCCTGGCTCCCATTGCGAGCCCCAGCCCGGGGGCACTGGCGGCTGTGAAATTAACAGTAAGAGGGCTCATCGGGGAGGCAGAGCAAGAGACGGGACAAGAGGGGCTCAGGCTGGGCAGGTCTGGAGACGGAAGGGGCCCCAGCTCGGGCGCAGGGTGGGCCTGGGGCCTCATTCGGGCTCTCAGCAGCTCTGTGGCCGACTCTGGGACTCACTCTCTTAAGTGCAGAAAGAGGGGATGGAACCAGGTTTGTAATTGGGGCTGGGAAAGGGAGAAGTTTGAAGATCAAGGAGCCAGGGACCCCAGGGCTAAGAGAGAGGGTGACCAGAGACATCAGGGCCGTAGAGGGATTCGGGGGGGGGGTGTTGTTATATCTGGGCAGGGTCCCTGCTCAGGGTCGGCCCTTCTTGGCAGAGTCCAAACAATGTTCCATTTATGGGGACCCCCATTACCGTACATTTGATGGCCTCACCTACCTCTTCCGGGGCCGCATGACCTACACTCTGATAAAGACCATTGGTAAGCTCCCTGCTGGGGTGGTGCCTCTGGTCGTGGAGGGGCGCAACAAAGTGTATTCGTCCTGGAGACCCATCTACCTGCACGAGATCATCGTGATCATCTACGGCTACACAGTCCAGCTCAAGGCTCATCTGGAGCTGGTGGTAAGAGCCAGGCCAGGCCAGGAGGGGCTGGGGAGGCAGGCTGGGCTGTGGGAGGCCACTGAACACAGTAAAGCCGGGAAGTTCCTGGCCCAGGCTGCCTCGTCATCGAGGTCATTGAGGTCAGAATCGGTGCCACACTCACATCCTGGGGAGAGGCAGCGGAGAGCAGTTGGATGGAGCAAAAGGTTGGAGAGGGACAGGGAGAGAGAGGGAAGGAGAGAACATGGGGTGCAAAGGGGAAGCCGGGCTGAGTAGTATGGGGGGCGTCCTCTCTGTCAAGTGTTTTGCAAGGAAGAGGCTATGGCTGCAAAGGGCGTAGACCTTGGGGAAGCCTTTGCCACGCGGGGCAGCAGGGCCTACGGGGGTACCTCATTCCGTGGAATGATGGCACCCAGATACCGAGGCGTGCGGAGAGGCAGTGGAGGGTCAGGTCGACCCCGGACTCTCTGTGGCTCCTGGCTGCCTTCTCCAGGTCAACAACCAGAAGATGGGCATCCCCTACAAGCCCAGTGACCGTCTGCAGGTTGCCCTGCGGGGCCATCGCCTGTATCTGATCACTGACTTCGAGATGGTTGTCACCTTCGATGGAGGCAAAAACGCAGGTATCTGAGAGTGGGGAGGGGGAGAGCAGAGGGGGTGTTTCTGGGCCGGGGGGCCAGCCACGGTGAGGAGCCCCGAGTGGGTCCAGGGCCCCGAGCGCCAGGGGAGCAGCCAGGAGGGGTGGAGAGGAGGTGGGGGGGCCTCACTTCTGGACACCCCTTCCTCCTGCAGTGATCATGCTGCCCAACCAGTATAAGGGGCTCGTGCGCGGCCTGTGTGGGAATTATGACGGGAACAAGAGGAATGACTTTATGCTGCCCAACGGCACCGTCACCCAGAACCTCGTTGGCTTTGGCAACAGCTGGGAGGTACAGAGGATCAAGGGAGGTGACCTCGCCCGCTTCTCAAGGTGAGAGGGCTGGGGCTCGGAGCAGGGAGGCCTGGCCCCTGGGGAGGCGAGTAGCAGCCCGGTCTCTGTCCACGCCCGCTCACCCCGTACCCTCAGCAGAGAAGGACTCCCGAGGGCGAGAGCCCAGACAGATCTGTCTGACCTTCTCATCCTGCCATTGCCTCTCAGACTGACTGTGGGGGCACCGGCCCTCCGGGTCCCAGGCTGTGCCGCGTGCCTCCCCACCCCTCCTCCCCAGTTCTTCTCAAGGTCACGATCCTCAGGGGCCTCACCTGGCCCCATCTTGCTCTCCGCCCCAGGGCCATACAAGAGGAGGAGGGGAAGGAGTCAGGCTTCCCTGTGTCGGAATGCAGCCCAGAGCAGCTGGAGCTCATCAACAGCACCCAGGCGTGTGGGGTGCTGGTGGACCCCCAGGGCCCCTTTGCCGCCTGTCACCAGACCGTGGCCCCAGAGCCCTTCCAGGAGTGAGTCAAGGGCCCAGGCCCCACGGGAGTGGCCTTTCTCCGGGTCCTGCTGCCGGTTCTGGGATCCGAGCTCTGTATGGCTCACTTCTTTCTCTTTGTGGCTTCAGGTCCTTGCGATACCCCGCGCCCCAAGCGCTCACACTCATACACACGCGCGCACACCCTGCCTGATGTCTTTGGGCTGGGTCTCCTTGCCTCCCCACCTCCGACAGCCCCCTGACCGCCCTGCTGCCCCCAGGCACTGTGTGCTGGATCTGTGTGCCGCCGGGAGCCCCAGAGAGCAGGAGGAGTTGCGCTGCCAGGTCCTCAGCGGGTACGCCGTCATCTGCCAGGAGGCGGGCGCCACCCTGACCAGCTGGCGGGACCACACCCGCTGCGGTGAGGCTCTGACCTTCCCCAGAAGCTGCTTCCCGACCTGCTCGGCCATTTCTGCCCTCTGCTCAGCTCTGAGCCCCAGCCCTTGCCCGCCTCGGCCTTCCCGCCCTGCCCTTGACTCCTCGACTCCCCGACGCCCCACGTCAGCGTGCTCCCCAGCCAGCCTCCCTCTCTGCCGCGCCCAGGAAGCCACACCGCACCCCTGTCAGCCCATCCCGCCCCTTCTCCTTCTTGCCAGTCAGTGCCCAGCTTTCTCCTCCGCTTCCTTAGCGCGCTTTAATGTCAGATCAGAAGGCGCCCGAAGTCGGCCCACTCTTCCGGCCTCCCGGGCCTATGCCAAGCTCTGTGTTCTGGTGGGTGACCTTGTTCCCCCACCAGCTGCCAGCTCCACGGTCCCCATACCTGCTGGCCCCACCCCTGCCCGGCCACCCACTCATGCTCACTCCGACTTTCCCGTCAGCCCTGGCATGTCCGGCCAACACCGTCTACCAGAGCTGTATGACACCCTGCCCGGCCTCCTGTGCCCACCCGACGGCCCCTAGGGACTGCGAGGGCCCCTGTGTGGAGGGCTGTGCCAGCCTCCCGGGCTACATCTACAGTGGGGCCCGGAGCCTCCCCCTGGCCCACTGCGGCTGCACCAACCACGGCATCTACTACCAGGTCCGCGCTGGGAGGGGGAGGCCCTGCGGAGGGCAGGAGAGCCCGAGGAGCGGGGGGAAAGCCAGACCGTCTCCTCCCGGCCCTTCTCCCCTCTCCAGCGGGGTGACAGCTTTGTGACTGAGAACTGCTCCCAGCGCTGCACCTGTGCCCGCTCAGGGGTGCTGGTGTGTGAGCCCCTCAGCTGCCGTGCTGGGGAGAGCTGCACCCTGGGGAACCTCACTCGTGGCTGCTTCCGAGGTGAGCCTAGACCTCCCCGGGGCTTCAAGCTGCCTCCGTATGTGGGGTGGGGGTGCTGGATGGAGGATCATCCCTCCCGGTCCTGTGCCCGAGACCCTCCTGCTCGCCGTCAGGAAGTCGGGCCGCATAATCCCGCTCTTTCCTCCTTTCTGCGGAGGGGCCAAGGGACCGAACAGTTGCTGTCTGCCAGGCCCGGTGCTGAAGGCTTCTCCTGGCGTTGGCTCTCTATGACCTCCCCTCTCTGTGGTTGTGGGTGTCCTCCTAGAACTTTCCATAACCCCATTTATCCTCACAGAAAGCCCATGTCTACGGAACCCCTGTCAGAATGATGGGCGGTGCTGGGAGCAGGGAACCCACTTCACCTGTGAGTGTGAACCTGGTTATGGGGGACACCTCTGCACGGAGCCTCGGGATGTGCCACCCCCTGGAGAGGCCGGTGAGAACTCCATCCCGGGCCCTGTATCCTCGCAGCCCCTTCCCTACCACCAGCTGCTCTAGTATTATTCCATAGATATAATATTATCGTTTAATAGATATCTATTATAGATCTATAACAGATAGCATATGATTAATATAATGTGTATTCTATAAAATATAATGATCTCGGGGCGCCTGGGTGGCTCAGTTGGTTAAGCGTCTGCCTTCGGCTCGGGTCATGATGCCAGGGTCCTGGGATCGAGTCCCGCATCCGGCTCCCTGCTCCGCGGGAAGCCTGCTTCTCCCTCTCCCGCTCCCCCTGCTGGTGTTCCCTCTCTCGCTGTCTCCTCTCCGTCAAATAGATAAAAATCTTAAAAAAAATAAAATATAACTCTCCCTTTAAAAAAATATAATGATCTAATATGAGCCCTAGATATTAGCAGAATGAGGGCTCTCAAAGAACCTGAGTCCCTGTGCCCAGCCCCTACCAACATGCAGTAGCCCCCGCTAATCTGTGGTCCGAGACCCCTATCCGAGTGGATGCCTGGGACCACAGACAGTACCAAACCCTGTGTTTCTTCCTACGTGTACATACTAATGATGAAGTTTTATTCATAAATTAGGCACAATAAGAGATTAACAACAACAAAATAGAACAATTATAACAATACACTGTAGTCAAAGTTACGTGACCGTGGTTTGTCTCTCAAACTGTCGGGTTGTATTGTACTCACCCTTCTTGTGATGATGGAAAATGATAAGGTGCCTAAGGGAGGGGATGAGGTGAGGGGAATGACGTGGGCCGTGTGAGGTCGCCTTAGGCTGCTACTGACCTTCTGATGCTACGTCAGAAGGAGCACCATCTGCTTCTGGACCGCGGGTGACTGTGGGTGGCTGAAACTGTGGAAAGCCAAGCACTCCATGAGGGGGGTACTGGCCGTAGTCTGGGATCCTCTCTCTGAACCCTCGCTCCTTTCTCTGGTCTTGTCTCACCCCGCTCTTATTTGCCCACCTTGTGTCCCTCCTGAGCCTCCCCAGTACCTCTCCCCATCCCAAACTAGACTTCCCTTGAGCCTCAGGGTCAGTAGTTCTCACCAAATTTATCTCCCCTCAGATCGGGCCAGGGTGGGGAAAGGGGGGCTTTTTCAAACGGTTCGTTTCAGGACTTCCCCCCCCCCCCCCCGCCCCGAGATTTGGATTAGGTAGGTCTGGAGTAGGCCCAGACATCTGCATTTTTACCAAGCTCCCAGGCGACTGAGGGAAGTGATTCCAAGTCTGCTCTTTGAGAAGCACTGGCCAAGGGCGCCTGGGTGGCTCAGTTGGTTAAGCGACTGCCTTCGGCTCAGGTCATGATCCTGGAGTCCTGGGATCGAGTCCCGCATCGGGCTCCCTGCTCGGCAGGGAGTCTGCTTCTCCCTCTGACCCTCTTCCCTCTCGTGCTATCTCTCATTCTCTCTCTCAAATAAAAATAAATAAAAAAAAAATCTAAAAAAAAAAAAAAAAGAGAAGCACTGGCCAAGATGGTACCCCCTAGATGGTACTCTAGGGGACCAGCGGGATGAACATCTCCCTTAACAAGGCTGATGGGCGTTGTGTGTCCAGAAACTCAAAGGGATCCTAGGGGTATGGTGCCAAGGTCTTGCAGCAACAGCCTTCTGGAGGGAGACCTAGCCACACCCAGCGAGTTAGGGGCCGCTGTCCTTTCTAGGTGGCAATTTAGGATCCAAAGGGAGTGTCTCAAACAAACAAACAAACAAACAAAGGGAGTGTCTTCTCCCCCCATGCTTTCCTGACCTGTGTCCCTACGTTCAGTCTCCTGCACCCCGGAAGCATCCAACTTTGGGGCCGTCCTGTTGGGGACGCTTGTGCTTGTGGTGGTCCTAGTGCCCACAGTGACCCGAGAATGTGTTTCCAGGAAGAGGAGGAGGAGGTGAGTTCTGGGAAACGGGAAGAGCAGGGGTGGGTGGGGATGAGTCAGCAGGGGAGCGGGCACCTACCCTCCTCTGTTCCCCACAACCCCCAGGGAGAAAACGCAGAGCCAGAACAGAGGCAGGCTGGCAGACGCTGGTGAGAACCATTCCCACCCCAGAACCTTGGCAACCGGGAGCTGAGTCCACCTCTGATACAGGTTTTCTCGCTTACTCCTCAGATTTTGTTCCGGAGCATGCCCTTCAAGTCCCTCAGTTTTGAGTTGTCCTCAGAAAGGGAGAGAGAAAATAAAATTTATTTTTGAAATGTGAATTTCCACATGATTGTGGTGGAGGAAGGGTCTGTGAGGTGGGTCTTGTGAGGGGGGTGAAATGGGACGGAGGGACACAAGTGTGCGGGTGGTGGGGGAGGCTAGGGCTGGGTGCCCTGCAAAACGTCCAGAGGGGAGGGGACCGGAGGGGGACCGAAGTCTGGCTGTTCTTTGGACAAAGCCATTTGGGGGTGGGGCGTCCAGCCCTCTGGCTTCTGGGGAACAGGAGAAAAGACTGCACTGTCCGTCTTCACAGGAATCCATGGCTTGTGGAAGGCGATCCTGAGGTGTCTGACATTTCTAACGATGAGATTCATCACTGGGTGCAGGCTAAAGATGGGGAATGTGGCTTTTTCCAAAGGGCCAACCGCCTGTGACCCTCGGTGGCGGGGCAGGGGGGGGCTCCACCTTCTGCACCGGTCCATTTCCCAAAAGGGCCTAGGGGTTACTACGGCAACTGAGGGTGGGGTCTGGGGGCCCAGGAGTTCAGAGCCCCATCCTAGGAGGAGTGGCTGGCTCACCTCAGCCTGAGGCCAAAGGGCAAACTTCTGACCCCTCCCCCAGGGTCCCGTGCCTCCCATCAGGCAGGTCCTTGCTTGGGGGTGGGGGCTGGGACATCCTGTTTGGGTCCCAAGAAGGAAAGGAAGACCACCAGCTGGGGTAGGAGTGGTCAGGATGGAAGACCCCAAGGGACAGGGGGGTGCCCAACCAGGCAGGACACTGGGTCCTATGCTTATTCTCTGAGATGACCCCAGCAGCCACCTACGTTTAAGGAATTGAGATCCCAGCTGGGTGGGGAAGGGCCCTGGGGAGGGAGGGATGGCCCCCCACCAGGCTAGCCGTCGGGGAGCAGCTCCCACTCTGGAGCTGGGCATGGCAGGAGCGCTCAGGGGATTCCATGAACTGCTGATGCTTTAGCCTGGGCATGGTGGGGCTCCCTGCTGCACACCTGCCCCCCCCAGCTCCCTTCACCTCATCTTTGCCCTTTGGCCGGTTATTCATTTGTGCCCAGTCCTCTTGACTTCAGCTCCTCCCCTCAACAACTAAGGTCACTTATCTAGCCCGGATGTCTGGTTGGCAGAGGAAAGGGTTGGCCTGGGTGGGCATCCTCCGGATAGACCTCCTCCTCCAGGACCCAGACCCCCTCCATCTGTGGCGGGATAGAGTCCCTCCCACAGACCCCTTGGGTGTACAAAACATGGGTGATGGGTCATCGAGGGAAGGGACAGAGGATTCCAGAGTATTAGGGACTCTGGTAGGTAGGAACTTGTAGACAGGATCACCACCCAAGGTTCCCTGGGCTGGGAAGGGCAGAAGCTGTTATTTGGGGTCCTGCACAGACCTGAGCACAATAGGGGGCAACTAGGCAGAAACAGCAAGGCTGCCCCAGGTAAACAGCGCTGGCCCCTGCAGGTGTTCCTGGGGGTGGGCAGACTAGGAGGGAAGGAACAGAAGACAGCCACAAAGACTCGCAGGGGCTTGACCCCATTCCCGTCTTCCTGTTTGGGAGACAGAAGTTGGGAGAAGACACTCAGGTGGTTTCCCCTCCCCTTCCCAAGAGGCTGGGAGAACCTGCCTGGGCAGCATCTTGAAAGGGGAAATTGTCTTCCCAATGACTCAGCCCAGCGTGTGTGTGTGTGTGTGTGTGTGTGTGTGTGTGTGTGTGTGTGTCTGTATGTACATCTACGTACCGCGGGGGGTCCACATCCCTCACTCCAGCTCTCTGCCCCTCCCCCACAGCCCATGCAGACTCTTTCCCCCCCTTGCCTCTGAACCAACCCCAGCTGTCAACATCTGGCCCACATCTGTCTCCATCTGAGTGGACCCCCACCCCAGCCAATGCCCCCCTCTTCCCCGTCAGGGGGCTGGGCAGGGCTACAAGCTCAAGGCCTCCCGGCCTCCCGTGGCCCCCTACCAGGGCTGGGGAACCAGGACAGGGGAGGGATGGGGCAGCCCCACCCCGGAGGAGCCCCAGGCTCTTGGCAGAGCCATCTGGAGCCGTTAGAAGCAGCTGCCAATGACTCATCTCCCACTGCCCCCACCCCACCACCTCAAACACATCCTGGGACGGGGAAGCATGCCCGCAGCCCCCCACAGCCCTGTCTCCAGACCTCCGACACCTCCTCCATACCCAGGCCCCAGGCTCCGCAGGAACCCAGTCCATCCCCCGCTCCCAATCACCCCCAGGACTGCTTCGCTTCCCATTTTCTTTTATTTATACAAAAAAAAAATGTTTTAAATATAATTTAAGAACCCCTCCAAGCACCAGTGTCTGTCTCTGGTTTCCACCACCACATCACCCCCCCCCCACACCCCCTCACGGACACAGCTTGGGGCTACTTGGGGGCAGGAAAGTGTCTGGGAGTTGCGGTGCGACCACAGGCACTGTTCGGAAACAGGACGATGAGCCCCTGTTTCACCCTAGGCAAAGGAGGCAATACCGAAACAGGTTCCCCCCCCCAACACAGAAAGTTATGACAAGGACAGTAGAAAAACAAAACGACAAGAAACAACGACAAAAAATGGGGGGGGGGGAGGAAAAAATAAGACAGAAACAAAAAATAAAACTCAAAAACCTTCAATATGAAGGCAGCAGATGGGGGAGGGGCATTTACAAGGGAAAACTGAGTTCGGGAAGACAGCAGCAAGGTTGGGGACATCTGGGTCCAATGATTTTGTCACTGGGCCACAACGCCCCTTCCCGCCTCCCGCCACGACGGGTGCGCTCCACTCCCGAGCTCACAGGCTAGTCACCCTCTTCTCTTTGGTCTGTAGGGCAGTGCATCGGCCCTTCCAGGTGAGGAGGGGCACGTGGGGCCCTAACTGGGGATCAGAGGGAGGCTGTGGGATTCGAGCCCAACCACCCCTGGGAAGCTGGCAGATTAGAGGCGCTCCCTTTCCCTCTGGTCACACCCAATCCTGAGGGAAGGGCTTCCCGCCTGGGGGGCATGTGATGATTTCTACACTCCTATGGCAGAATCCTCAAATCCTGTCTCTCCAAATTGCCAGCTCCCCACCCCCACGGGTTCAAAGTGCTATCCAGTGGGGCCCAGGTACGGCGGCCTCTTGGGTCCCCATCCGACTCTGCCCCAGGAAGAAGGGGAGCTGTGTCCCCAGCCAGGAGTTCCTGCCGCTCCGGAGCGGTGGGGCCAGACAAGCAGGTGCAGGTCAGTACTGGGGGGCTGGTGCTCCCGCCCCGCCACCTGGGGCTCCAGGCTTGGCCTGGGATTTCATGTGCTGGACACTGGCCAGGATTTTCTTCTGGTGTCCCGCCAGAGTGACTCCAATTCGGAGCAGGTCCCTGGGGAAGAAGGGAGAGCTAGGTGAGGCCACAGGGACTCCTGGGGAGGGTCACTTAGCTCGAGACCACGCCCCACCCTGGACTGTCAGCCAATCAGGAAGGCCAGCAGGGGAGGGGTACGCGTCAACAGTTGCCAATAGTTGAGGGCAGTTTCCAGAGGCTTTCAGGAGCCGGCTGCAGTCCTTCTGCGCAGCCGCAGTACAGGGTGGAGCAGGGCTGGCCAGAGATGGGAGGTAGGGGGGTGCAGCTTGGGGCTCCGACAAGGATTAGGAAAAGGCAGAGAATCAGCGAAGGGGAGGAATGAAAGAGAGAAAAGCGCACAAAATGAGGGTGGGGGAAGGGCTGCACAGATTGCTCTAGAGGAGAAGTCAGAAGGAAAAGGCCTGAGAGAGGAAGAGCGGGTGGGGAGGAAGGGGCGGGGTGGGGCGAAAACGAGCTGCCCGCCGCCCCCCACCCCCCCGCCCCGGCCCCCATCCTGAGGCCTGGAGCCTGAGATAAGGGAAACCAGCAGAGGTGGGAAATGGAGAGCAGGGACCTGGGTCAGGGCGGCTCTGGAACAAGTCAGGGAGCAGGGGGGCGGGTGTGTGAGCTGCCGGGCCGGGAGGCTGCCTCCCGCCCTCTGGTTCCAGATTTCTCTTCCTTCCATGTGTTATTCAAACCTGGGCTGCGAAGAGAGCTGGGAGGGAAACGGGCAGGCAGAAAGGTGGAGAACCAGAGAGGCCAACGAGGGGAACACAGTGTTCGGGAGGTGCTGGAACCATAAAACCATTTAACATTAAAGCTGGAAATGATCTCCAAAACCCAGTCCAACCTTCTCCTTTTACGGGTGAGGAAGCAGCCAGAGTTGACACTTTGTTAATGTGAGAACAGGGTCTGGAATGTAGATAGATGCACAAGGATAGGTAACCATGGCAGGACAGGAGCAAGATGGCCCAGGGCTGAGGTGGCGCAAGGGGGTGAGGGGGGTGAGGCGGGCTCTGCGGGGCTGGAAGATTCCCTGGGCTCTCAGCCCCCGGAGCTGCTACTTTGGGGGTGTTCTAGATAACGGAGTTGGCACCAGGAGTTGCCCCCAAAGGTCCCTGCTAAACCGGCGGGCCTGATTCTGGTCCCCAGGTGCCCCGACACTGTTTAGCTCTCAACCGCCACCTCCAGCACCTGCCACGACTTACTCAGCAGAGATCTGGCTGACCAGTTCGAAGGAGCCAAAGCCAGCGGCTGCGAAACTTTCTTCGTATCGTCCCATCTTGATGGCTCTAAGCCACTCACCCACTGAGCCAAAAGCTGAGTAGTGAGGCTGCCGCTGATCCAGGAGCGGGTGTGAGGCCCTGGACAAGGCAAGGATGGGGAGGGGTGGGCTGAGTTCCGGGGCTACGTCAGGGTGGGGACTTTGAGCCCAGCCCTGGAGCAGCGGACGGGGACAATGGACAATCCCACGTACCACCAGAGGGCCGGATACTTCTGAGGGGGAAGGAGGGGGTTCTCAGGCGGTGGCAGAGTGCAGGAAGGAGGCCCACCCTCTGGGGTCCTCACCCGCCATTCTCCCTGGCCACGATTTTGAGACTGGCCGGGTTCCGGATCATCTTGTCGAGGGCGCTGACCACCTGGGGGAAGCGGGGCCGTGCATTCCGGTCCTTCTGCCAACAGTCCAGCATGAGCTGGTGCAGGGAAGTGGGGCAGTCTGGGGGCGGGGGCAGCCGGTAGTCCTGTTCAATGGCATTGATCACCTGGAATGACAGGTAGAAGCACTGGGTGAGGATCTCCCGGGAGAACAAGGGTGCCAAAGGACCCCCAGAAGAAGGTGACTCAGCAGATGCTGGAAGAGGTGCCATAGGCCCCGAGAATGGCAGACTCGGGGTCCTCCTGGCCGGGGCCGAAGCTGGCTGTGGCTGGATGCCCCAGTGGCTCCTGGGCCAAGATCTAGATGAGTAACTTCCCAACCTTGCCCTCCTCCTCCATGTCCTTCTGTGACCAGATGCGCTGTATCAAAGTCTTGGATGCAAAGATTAACTCTACTTTCTGCCACCCTCAAGGACCCAACAGTGATGAGCTCTCTGGGGACCCCACTCCCCCCGACCTCCATGTCCCTGGTGAGAGAACATTCCAGGAAAGCTTGGTAGGACCACGGGACACTCACATCCTGATTGCTCATGTCCCAGTATGGCCGTTCCCCAAATGACATGACCTCCCACATCACAATCCCGTAGCTCCAGGCGTCACTAGCAGATGTGAACTTCCGGAAGGCAATGGCCTCAGGGGCTGTCCATCGGATGGGAATCTTTCCACCCTAAAGATGGGAGAGGAAAAGGTGAGCTGAGGGACTCACAGGACCCAGGCATTCCGGCCCCCCCACGCCTTTCCCCCAGGCCTCCTTTCTTTCTGGGACTCAGACACACAGCTCCTCAACCCTATTCTTTTCCTGGACACTGGAAGTCGGGTTTCCTAAGCTGACCGCCCCCTCCATGGTCTGTGCCTATGTCCAGTCCCTGAATTGGAACTGTCAAACTCTCCGCCTCCCACCTTTCCAACCTTCCCTCCCCACCTGGCCCTAAGAACTGAGTTGAGACGCGGGTCCCCTGGCCTCACCAGAGAGCTCGTGTAGGTGGGATCAGAAGAGTTCTCCTCCAGGAACCGGGAAAGCCCAAAGTCGGACACCTTGCAGACAAGGTTGCTGTTGACCAGGATGTTGCGGGCGGCCAGGTCTCGGTGGACGTAGCTCATCTCAGCAAGGTACCGCATGCCCGAGGCGATGCCCCGCAGCATGCCCACCAGCTGGATGACGGTGAACTGCCCATCGTTCAGCTGGAGATTGGACAAGGGAGAGGACACGGCTCAGGACAGCTCACCCGCCCTTGCCCACGCCTTCCGCGCTCTGAACCAGATCTGCCACTCGCAGATCCATGTGCTGCTCCCCTGCCGGGCAGGCCTGCTCACCCCCCAGGTAAGCCCTCTTCCTTTCTCTTACTCTGAGCCCTCTCAGCTCTCACCGCACTAACCCGACACAATGCTTAAGATTCTAAGGAGGGGCTCCTGGCTGGCTTAGTCAATTCGGAGTCCGACTCTTGATTTTGGCTCAGGTCATGATCTCAGGGTCGTGAGATCGAGCCCCGCAACAGGCTCCGTGCTCAGCACAGAGTCTGAAGGTTGTCTCTCTCCCTCTGCCTCTGCCTCTGCCCATTACCTGCTGTGCATGCTCTCCCTCAAATAAATAAATAAATCTTAAAGATTAAAAAAAAAATGTTGTAAGGAGATCACTTTAACGTTTTCTTCTATTTAGTCTAATACAGAGCTTTACATCCAGGGCATACTCAACAAATGCTTTTGATTGAACATGTTCATTTTATGGGACAGCCACAGAGTTCTGATAGTCGGCGTGGGCTCGGAGCCACCTGTCTACAGGTGCAGATGCATCCGTGCTGAACCAAAGCAATCTTGCTCAGCTCTCTTGGGCCAGCTGTGTGTAGCTTGCAAGAAAGCAGTGAAAAACTGGGTGTGATCAATGACCACAGCCCCCAAACCAAGACCTAAAGCTTGACCTTGATCTTGACAGAGTCTGCTCTTACCAGATAAGCTAGCCAGTCACAGTAAAAGAATCCCATACTCTGGGTTCAGCAAGCACGCAGGGGACCCTTGGCGGCCAAGCAGGGCCAGGGCCAGAGTCCAAAACCTGAATTCTGAACCCATCCTCCAAGCCTGCACACCGTAGGCCTTGAATGTCAGCTTGTGGAAACACTGCTGGCGAGATGCTCAGGGCAGACCCCGGAGTCTGTGATTCCTCTCTTCCTCACCCACCACTTATGATCCATCAGCAGGTTCTGCCTCCAAAACATGTCCCGAATCTAGCCACTTCTCCCCACCCTGCTACAACCCTCACACCCCAAAGGACTGCAAGTCTCCCCACTGGCTCCTGGCTCTTACTCCCCAGCACCACCAAAGGGAGCTCTGAAAATCATCCCTCTCCAGCTGAAAACCCTCCAAAGGCTTCCCCTGGAACTTTTAATCAAATCCAAACTCCTTACTAAGGCCACGAGGCTCACGTGGTCTGACCACCACGTACATTGAGATCTACCACTGCTCCTCTGCCCCGGCCTTTTGTTTTGTTTGTAAAGATTATTTATTTATTTATTTATTAGAGCGCGCACGTGCATGCACGAGCAGGGGGAGGAGCAGAGGCAGAGGGAGAAGCAGACTCCCCGCTGAGCAGGGAGCCCGACGTAGGTCTCAATCCCAGGACCCTGGGATCATGACCTAAGCTGAAAGCAGATGCTTAACCAACTGAGCCACCCAGGAGCCCCTGACCTTTCTGCTTCTTGAACATGCCGGGTTCCTGCCCACTCTGGTTTCCCCCAATGTGCTTCTCCTCCGTCTGCTCATGGTTGGCTCTTTCTCTACCCAAAAGCCATCTCCTCTAAAATAAATCCCCTTTCCTCCCAGGCAACCGGACCTTTGTCTGGTACCAACGGAACAGACCCTTGTGTCGACGGTGGAGGGTCCGGCTGTCATCACACTACCCGGGGTCTGCCTTGGCATCTCTCCCGATGACAGCCAGGTAGCCTGTCTCCGGATGGGGTGCCATGCAAGGTACACAGCACCCCCGATGGAGGCTGGCCACGGATACTGATTTTTGGACTTATCAAAACATTAGATCTATCTTCTCTTAATTACAGAAACAAGCTAACCGACCCCACAGGGAAGAGACATTCAAGGGGATAAGAGGCCCAGCTTTTCAGCATGTCAGTGTCATAACAAGGGACTGTCCTGGATGTTGAAGAGGCTCAAAGAAATAACCACCGGGTACCATGCTTGATCCTGAACTGGATCCTGGTTTGGAGAAACCAGGAGGAAGAGACATGTAGGGGGACAACCAGGGAAATGTGAATAGTGACCGGGTACTGGATGATCCCATGAGAGTGTCACAATTCTGTCCAATGCAACGTTTTGCTCTGTAGGAAAACGTTTTGGTTTTTTAAAAAGGATGTACAGTAAAGTGGAAAAATAAAATAATACCCAGTAAAACCTGTTCAAGTGACAAAAATAAAATAAGTTCTTCCCCAGCATCTCAAGCCACTTCTCCAAACTGTTTCTTAAAAGCTTGTTTGTTTCCTGTCTCCTCCATTACACTGTCAAAGGCAGAGATGTTCACGGCTTTATTCCCAGGGCCTAAGACAGTGACTGACACACCAGATGGCGCTCAGGAAGCATTTGTCAAGAGGACGAATGACCACCCCTCCAAATCCTGGGTCCGCTGGCCCCACAGACGGGCCATTTCCACTCGCGGCCGCAGGAAAGGCGAGTCCTGGGAACTCTAGCTGTCCTGGAGGGAGAATGAGGGGCACAGGGGGTGGGATGTGCACCCCACCATCCTGGTCCTGAGCTCCTTGGCTGTGCTGGGGGAGGACGGGAGGCCGCGGGAGGCTGGGGTGCAGGGGGCTCACCCGCAGGAAGGAGTCCAGGGCGCCGTTCTCCATGAACTCGGTGAGGATCATGACGGGCACGCTGTTGGTGACCACGCCCTCCAGGCGGATGATGTTGGGGTGCTCGAACTGGCCCATGATGGAGGCCTCACTTAGGAACTCCCGCCGCTGTCGCTCCGTGTAGCCCCCTTTCAGGGTCTTGATGGCCACACAGCTCTCTTTCTTCCCCGGGGCCTTGAGCCGCCCCCGGCACACCTCGCCAAACTCGCCTTCGGGAAGGATGCTGAGGGTCAGCCCTCCTCTGCCTGTTGTCTGGCCCTCCTTCCCCCTACTCCCCCCCGCACCCCGCACCCCTACCCCGGGCGCCCATCTTCCCTCTCACCTGCGCCGATCACCTCCTCGATCTTGACATAGGAGACATCGATCTCTTTTGCAAATTCCCTCACAGCCTCATTAGGGTCCTCGTAAGTGAAGGGGTCAATGTAGACCTTAGTCCCTGAGGAACCATGCGGGGTCCCGTTAACCGAGAGGCAACCTCCCCTGCACTCGGAGGCCCGGATTCTGGGCTCACCGCCCCTGCCCCAACCCCGTGTCCCTCAGCATTAGGCCTACCCACCGTGCCCGATGAGATACTGTCCGTGTTTGTCCGAGTACTCAGCCTCTCTCCCATTGCTCTGCTTCCTGTGGCCGATGGGAAAGAAAAGGTAAACGGAATCACCCATCTCTGCGTTTCCAGAGGGAAAGGACCGAGGGGAGGAGGAGCGGGGATCAGAGAAGCTTCCAGGAGAAAACAAGTATCCTGGGGCATTGAGGGAGGCTTGCCTGGAGCAAGAGGGCAGGTGGCCATCTACACGGGCCCTCCTCCCAAGGGCCTCCAGGTGCCCCAGAGTGCTCACCTGAGGCAGAGAACAGCAATGACAATGACCACCAGGACCAGCACCACACCCACAACTGCCGTGCCTGCGATCAGGGCCAGTTGCTCCCGCCAGCTCTCGGTCTCTAGGGGAGAAAAGCTGTGATCAGAAGAAGCCGACGGGCCCCGGAGACCCTACACCAGCCTCAAGGCATGAGCTGTGTTCCCCTGAGAACAGGCCCCCGGCGGTGTGGCAGGTGCGGGAAAGCACAGTGGTTTCCAAATTGCTTTCCACCGGCGCGGGCTCCCCCGAAGTCCCCCAGGGCAAGGGAGGAAGTTTCCCAACCTCGTTCGTTACAGCAAGAGCGGGTTTGGTTTTGTTCACTTATACATACTGGTGGCCCACAGAAGGCCCCAAGGGCTAAAAATGGAAAGGTCTGTAGCCAAAATGTGGAAATGATCCAGATGTCCGTCAACAGATGAATGGATGAATAAAACATGCTATCGCCACAAAATGGACTATCTTCCAGCCATAAACAACACAGATACGCACCCCAACGTGGATGAACCTTGCGAACATTGTGCCGACTGAAGGGAGAAGCCAGTCACAAGAGGCCACATAACGTAGGACTCTGTTTGTATGAATGTCCAGAATAGGCAAATCCATAGAGACAGAAAGTAAGGTAGTGTTTGCTGGGGGCTGGGGGTGACTGAAGGGGTGTCTCTTTTTGGAGGCTGAAATGGTCTACAATGAATCGTGGTGATGGTTGCACAACTCTGGACATATACTAAAAGCCACTGAACTGTACTCTCTTTAAAGGGTGAATCATATGGTATGTGAATCGTCTCAAACCGTTAAAAGGCTTAGAAAGTCACCGGGCCAAGAAGCGTATTACAATGAACAGGTGTTGGGCGCCTGGGTGGCTCAGATGGTTAAGCGTCTGCCTTCAGCTCAGGTCATGACCCCGGGGTCCGGGGATCGAGGCCCACGTCAGGCTTCCTGCTCGGCAGGGAGTCTGCTTCTCTCCTCTCTCTCTGCTCCTCCCCCCTGCTCATGCTTGCACTCTCTCTCTAATGAATTAAAAAAAAAAAAAGATTTTTTTTAAAGATTTTATTTTTTTTTAAAGATTTTATTTATTTATTTGAGAGAGAGAGAGAATGAGAGATAGAGAGCACAAGACAGAAGAGAGTCAGAGAGAGAAGCAGACTCCCTGCTGAGCAAGGAGCCCGACGTGGGACTCGATCCCGGGACTCCAGGATCATGACCTGATCCAAAGGCAGTCGCTTAACCAACTGAGCCACCCAGGCGCCCAAAGATTTTATTTATTTATTTGAGAGAGAGAGAATGAGAAACACAGCAAGAGAGGGAAGAGGGTCAGAGGGAGAAACAGACTGCCCACTGAGCAGGGAGCCCGACGTGAGGCTCGATCCCAGGACCCCAGGATCATGACCTGAGCCAAAGGCAGTCGCTTAACCAACTGAGCCACCCAGGCGCCCCCCAAAAAAATCTTAAAAAAAAAAAATGAACAGGTGTTACCTCAGTTAATCCTTGGAGCCCTGGGAGAGAGGCCTCGTGATATTTCCAATTTGGGGAGGAGAGATGGGGCTTAAGGGTCAGGCTTTTGAGGGTCACACAGCTGGAAAGCCACTGGGCAGGCCTTCTCTCCCAGCTGTTGGGTTTTGGCTTCTGCAGCCTATGTTCTCCTCACTAGGCCAAAAATGCCTTGTGGTTGATAGAGAGAGGAGCATGGGAATGTGACTTTAGGGGTCCTTCGAGGGCACAGGCAAGGCTTCCCGCGTGATGGAGGGGCAGCACCCCTGCCCATGCCCTGCTCCCCAGACTCACCGTCCAGCTGGGTCTGGCTGTGGTGCTCCTGGCCGAAGGGCCCGTAGCCGGCCTCGGAGCGTGCCCGCACCTGGACCAGGTAGCTGGCTCCGCGTTTCAGCCCCCGCAGCTCTGCCCGGTTTTCCGACGTCTTCAGGAACCGCACGCTGCTGGGGCCCTCTGTACCCTGTCAGGG